TTACAAATATATGATTCGCCATGGTAGCTAAGGAAAGTTTCCGTTCAATGTTCGTTCCTTCAAACTATAAGTATCACTTCATTATATAAACCAGAACTTTGGTGTGTCGGTTTGTCTGTGTGTGTGTGTCGTTCTGTCCGTCCGGACCAACCGCTAACAAAACCGGGGAGTTCGAAGGGCTACACAGGAAAGAGAAAGGGATGAAGGGGGAGGAAAGTGGGGAGAGTGCACCGCTTTCAAGATTACGGTTCGATCCGGTGTTGAGGTATTATTGCAACGTGATTGTGATAATACCCCAACGGCTATATAAACACCTACTTATTAGTACACTTTCAGTCATTTCACAAGGTGCTGCAGAGCAGGGCATTGGAGGGAGGTGGGAAGGAATAAAGTGAGGAGTAGGTAACGCCAAGCTTCGCAGGGAAGGGAGGGTCCGGCGGTTCCGGGGACCAACCTGGTATATTTATATTCCATGTTATTAACATATCAAAATATTTAGGTAACAAACAGATAAATACTTTTATAGCTGTGGTTCAAACTTTCTGCCTGATATATTTTCAAAAAAAGTCGAGATATTCATTTTGATTAGGTGAGGTGTTATTCTGGCATCGAAAGCCTTCAGTAAACCAGAAAAGATGTTCTATTTGGCGAATTTCTGCCTGAAATAGATGTTTTTGCGAAAGAACTCCTATTTGATAGTAAACAGCTTATTATTTAGTGGTCCGACAGAGGCGTATTACTCTTCCAATAGAGAAGAGTGGCATTTAAACGGCACTGGGGACTGATAAGGCAAAGAAAAGCGGAGAAAAACAGACAAGAAACTAGAATGAATATCGGTGTGACCATGTGGCGCGCGTGGCCACATAGAGTAGGCATGCCGTGCGTCACATTATGGTGCACGCAGAAAGCAATGATTCGACATCTTGTGGAATCAGTAACCGATAGGAAAACAAATCCAATCTAAGCCCAACTTAACGAAGTTGCTATCAGTTGTCATGAAACGGGTAAAGCAAAAATGAAGCTTCATGACAGCTCTTAGCATCTCTCTCTCTTGTGATTGGGTACGATTCTTATTTCCTATTACAGCGTTGCTATAACTTGCCATCAAATGCTTGATGGGAATAATCCCACCTCACTAAAGGGGATCAAAGGTAGTGTTTAAATGACCCCTGCAGTGGCTCTTACGCCTTAATAACTCAAAATGCCTCTTGAGAACGCATAACCCTACCTCTTCAGGCTCTTCAATGTGGGTTTTTGCTGCGTGCACTCGTTGCCTTTCCGGATATCCTAGTCGAGTTTTGATTTTGT